ACCAGCCCTGGGACTGAGGTAGGGGGCCTCCACTGCACACGCTGCAGGGAAGGAAGAGCTAGTTGTGGAGGTGGGGCAAGCCGGGGGTCAGGCTGTAGGCAGTGTCGAGATAGGAGGAAACAGTAAGGATACTTTGTTTTGGAGAATCTTGGAGACCGTCCATTTTCAGAGATAATCACAGTTTTAAATATTCTCTTCCATTGTCCTTATAAACCACCAAGCCGTTCCAGAAAATTCTGTGTGTCAACTCTGTTTTTCCCAGGCCACCTTTCACATTGAAGTGGCACAAAAATCTGTGGTTAGGTCATGTGTCACAGTTTTTATTTTCGGCAAATTATGGTCACCATGCCCCCAACTATCGCCACCCTGGGCCAGGCATAATGCAGGAAATCAAGTGTGGTTTCCTTTGAGGAATTCTATTGTATTTCCTTGTTACCTACATATCCTCTTGTTGGATGTGCTGCCCTCAGGCTCCTCCAATCCAATGGTTTATTAAATACTCACTGAAATTAGAAAGGTTCGAAGTTGGACTTAGGGCCTTGCAGAGGGAGACTGGATATTTCTGAGGGAGAGTAGGCTGTCCAGTGGAGCAGGGAGGAGGTTGCTCAGGCAGAAGTAAGATCATGGCAAGAACTTCTGGGCTGGTTAAATGGGAGGTGGGGGAGGAGGTGATGGGGGGTGGGTGGTGAGGCCTGGGGCTGCTGAGGGAGCTGAGCTGGCTCTCTGTTCCTTCTTGGGCCCCCACCGCGTCCCAGCCTTGTGACACCCCCCTTCTTCCCACCCCCTCATCTCTCTGCAGTTTTCAGGGAACCCTACACCGTCCGGGTGGAGGATCAAAGGTCAATGCGTGGAAACGTGGCCGTCTTCAAGTGCCTCATCCCCTCTTCAGTGCAGGAATATGTTAGCGTTGTGTCCTGGGAGAAGGACACGGTCTCCATCATCCCAGGTAAGGCGGGACTGTGGGGCCGTGGCAGGGAGGGGTGCTGGGGCGAGAGGAGAGATGAAGCAGAGGTGCTGAGTTGGTTGTTGAGCTGAGCTCTTGAGTTTGGTTCTGGTGATTGATTCATTCTTACTGTTCTGGTGATGCTTTGGCCCAAAAGCATCTTTGGTCTTGGCTTGGTACGTCTGTGTGCGGGGCGGTGAAAACCCATATGCTGGTGGCCTCTGCTCAGTGTGCGAATGTCCCGTCCGACACAGGATGGGTCCGACTCCCCCAAAAGAGTGGAGCCCCCGTCCTTCCTGGCTCCTGGGTCTTTGCTTGCCTTTGCTTTTGGTGGTGGGAGGTGAAGCTGGAAGCCCCTTCACTGTGAAGGGCTGTGTAGGGAGAGGAGCTCGGAGCCGGCTGTGTCCTGCGTTCCCACATCAAGAGACTAGAGCAGTGAGCACCGGGTCCTCAGAGGACCAGACCTGAGTTTCATGCCTATGGGACTTTTTTTTCATGAGTTGGCTGAAGACCCCGTTAGGATTCTAGCTGGCCTCGCTCTCGCCTGGTATTGGGGGAAGAGGTTAGTACCATGTCATAGGTTCACCTTGTTAGAGCAAGCCTTCTGTTACTGGCTCCCTTTCCCTTCAACAGGAAATCAGGTCTGGAAACCCCAAGAGAGGACCTCAAGTCCTTGAAATACCTCTTGGCCTCTGGTTACAAAATGGTGGGTTTTTTCCCCACCGCTCGGCATCGCTGCCTTCATCCTGGCACCTTGCGTGGGCTCTCCTGCTTTTTCTTCCTTTCTCTGCTGAGGACCTTGGTTTCTCCTTTCTGTGAAATGGAGGGACTTGGCCAGGTGCTGAGTGCCCCTACAGCATTGATGTGCCATCGTTGGCCGTATAAGATGATTCCAGCTGCCAGGTTTTTGGGTTAGGTAGGGGAGGCAGAGATCTATGCATGACACTTGTAAAACCGGGGTTCTTAATCCTGCTACACATCTGAGTCCCGGGGGAACTCTTTGAAAAACACTGGTGCTTGGGACGGACTCCAAATCAGTATCTCAGTGGGAGAACCTGTGCATCAGTATTTTTAAAGCTCTTTCCCCGGTTCCGACATCTAGCTAGGAGAAGAGCTGATGCTTAGGCATATTTACTGCTAACGTGGCAGGCTACTCTTCTGGAGACACTAATTTGTCTTTTGCTCCTGGTACTTTTTCCTTCTCTCAGTTCCAAGCAGATGGCCAGGCCATTATGTTTCCCAGCCTCAGAGCTCCTAGCAGGACAGGAATCCGAATCTACTTGAAGACAGCTGCTCTTCCTGCCTTTTGTAAAACCATAAGCTAATAGGAAAGGTTAGGATGGGTGTTCTGGCTGGCGAAGAGAGCCTCTGAGGACAAGGAACAAACGGGGGACAAATGAATCCCAGGGATGGGACTGGGACTATGGGCCACTTAGTGGGTACAGCTGGAGGAAGCAGTGGGACCCCACAATGGGGGGCTGTGTGTGGCTCCACAGGGTCTGGGGCGGGGGCCAGGGTTCTCGCGTCCAAAGGAGGCACAAGGTGCACAGCCAAGACCCAAAGGGATCATGCAGGCAGGGACAACCGGCTGGTAAGAGACCCCAGACCTTGACACATTCCTGGGGGAGGCCCCAGTAATGAAGATCGAATGGCCCGTTTATCCAACAGAGTCAGAGTGAAGGTGCTTTACAGAACATAAAGAAATGTGGTATTTCTTATACATTTGAGTTTATGGACTAAGAGTTATATTCATTAAAATATTAATTAGTAGTAGTAGTAGTAGTAAATAACAGTTATTATCTGAGCATTTACTATATGCCAGGCACTGGCTAAGAAACTTTCACGTATGATCTCATCTTATCCTCATAAAAATCCGGAAGTATATTTTCCCCTCCACTTCACAGAAGAGGAAACTGAGCTCACAGAAGTCAAGTCACTTCTTCTGGGTAATGGATCCATTAAGCAGGGGGCCAAGGCTTGAACTCAGGTCTGTTCTTTCAACCTGTGCACTCACCCCTACACAGACCTGCCTCCCTGCACCATGCAAATGTGTCCAGTGGAGTGTTACTGTGAGGCTTTAAGTATGTGCTGTAGACAAGGAGGGCCTTGGCCTCAGGAAGGGGAACAAAGTCAATGTTGGATTTTAGGGAAGGCTTTGTGGAATTGAGGTGAGTGCAGTGATAAAGAGCCTGGACCCTGGGACCAGACTGCCAGGGTTGAGACTCACCCCACTGTTTAACCAGCTGGGCAGGTCATTTGCCCCATGGTGCCTCAGTTTCCCCAACTGCAATAAAATGGGGATGATGATTGACCTACCTTATAGGGTTTAAGAAGTTAATCTATGGGAAACGTTCTGAATGCTGCCTGGTACACCGAGGACAGCTGTGGCTTTGATGATGATAATGGGGTGGAAGAGCGCATTCCCTCCCTCTTGGGGTTTCCTGTTGTGGTGTATCTGTTTCCACTACGTCACAGGCTCTGCGTCCCCCATTAGACTGAGTTTCCCAGGGTGGGAACTGGCTGGTTTTCATCCACACATCCCTGGCTTCTGACACACCCCTTTGCACGTGCAGGGCAGGTGCACACTCAGTGTTCCAGGGGAGCGTGAATGGATGGTTGGAAGTGTTCTGAAGGAATGTGGGGACGGCATTGATGTAAGGGTGAGCACGGTGGGCGTGGGGAGGTACGAAGTCCAGCTCAGACGGGAGAGAAGGCAGGTTTACCTGACTCCTATGTGTAGGAGCTGGAGGCAGTGAGCTTCCCCAAGGTGACCCTGGTAGTTGGTGCTTCAGGGCTGTCTTTGATGCCAAGACACGGCTGGTGGCCCCAAAGGGCATAATTATCAGGAAAGTGGGCTTGATGCTAATCTGCGGGGCTCTGGTAAACTTTGGTTCTATAGCACCCCTTTCTTTCCTTTAGCCTTGGAGAATTTTCCTCCTCTGCCCAGCCCTCCAGCACCATCCATAATCATTCGAGATCCTTCTACAGCTATGGTTTAGATCCAGGGACAGACTTTCCAAAGCACATGAATCCAACTAACACGCTCCCAGAGGAATCCATGAGAACCTATATTGAAGTTTTGCTTCCTCCAGGCTCTGTAGATGAGAGGCCAGAACTTGGGCCCACATGCTGCATGCTTTAATTTTGGAAAATGCAAATTGTTTATTGTTTTTTTCCCATAAAAATAGGATTCTCTGACATCCATACACTGTACCCAGTGTGTGTGTGTGTGTGTGTGTGTGTGTGTGTGTGTGTGTGTGTGTTTTGTCTGGGAGGTTGGATGGCAGCTTCTCATGGTGGGGGAAGATTTAATGATTAGATTGCCTTGGAGTTAAGGAAGGATCAAGGAGCCTGTTATTTCCCCCTGCTGCCTTAGGGTCGGCTTCTGGAGGAAAAAGAAAGTGTAGACTTTGATCTCTGGATGTGCAGGTCTGGGTTCAAGTCCTCCACAGACCACAGGGCCAACAGGAGCGGGTGCTGGAGAGCAGGAGGGGCCCCAGGAGACATCTCCTTGGGGCGAGCAGATGCCCTGCGAGGAGGGGGCAGAAGGGGGTGGGTGCAGGCCCTTGCAAATGAGGAGCCTGCCCTGCAACGCCTCTCTCTGAAGGGGTTTGGAAGGAATTAAAGGCTTGGTGCCTAAACCAGCTCCATGAGTTGGGTATTTGTTCACAGGCTAGCCTTCCTTGTTGTCCACACTTGGGAGGAGCAGGTGAGCCTCCCTGCTGAAACTCTAAGCAGCTTCTTGACTGTGCTTTCCCCAGGAAAGAGACCAAAATGCAGGCTTTCCCCAAATGGTACTTTTCCCCAGAGCTACCTACTACACCTGCCCCTTTCTCCCCCTGCCTTTCCCCTCCTCTAAGCTGGTCCTCTTCCTTCCATTGGGCTATTTAAGATGTAAGAGCACAGAACCTCTCACCTATGATCTGGCAGACTCCTACCCTTTACTTCTCTCCTGGGGGCCTTGGTCTTGAGGAGAACTGGCTCTCCAGAGTGGGTGGGGTGGGGGAAAGAGGGCAAAGGGCTGTGCACAAACATAAATAAAAATTAAGGCCTCCAGTGAAGCCGAGATGTGGTTTAATTTCCCATCTGCATGATCACCATTACAATGCATGTTATTGGATATAAAGATAAATCCGGCCCTGTTCCTAATAGCTTTTAATTTCCACCAGACCTGATTATATCGATGTGGGCTCCTTGTGGGAGTTTCCCAGCATGCTCTTCACCAGCATCCTGACTGGCTGTCTTGGCCCCAGAGGGGAGTTTTGGACACTGCTCAGATGCGGGCCAGATGTGTCGGCCGGTGCTCTGGAAGATGAGCCTGGATCAGAGGATGGGGCTCTGGAACGCTGGGTTGTCATCAGGCCCTGGCTGGGCTGGGAGCCCTGTGCATTGGGGGAGGGGAGAAGCAGGGGCAAGGAGGAACCTGGTCAGAGGGGTCCTTCCTGGCTAGTGGGCAGTGCCCTGGACCGCAGCCCACCTTCACCGGGGGAGAGAGTCCGGGAGCCCGCCTCCCTGATTGTCCCTGGGTTTTCACACCTCTTCATTTGATCCTGCTGTCTCCTCTGTACCTATCCCCTCCTCTCCTTCTTGATACCCTACTCTTCTTTTGTCCTTTAAACTTGGTCCCCGTGCGTCCCCTTCCAGGAGACCTTGCATAAGCCTGCCGACAGAACTTACCGCTTCTCTGATTCCATTCCTGGAGCCCTCCTGTCATTTCCTCTTACGTGATAGGCGGTGGTCTCTGTCTGCCTGCTGCAGGGGGGGGTACACAGCTGTATCTTTTCCATCTCTTTATCCCCAGGGCCCTCGTAGCACCTGTCACAGCATAATAATAAGATTAATGATAATATCTATCATGTATTGAGACCCAAATTATCTCTAATCCTCACAATAACCCTTTCAGAGAGAGAACATTTTTTGTTTTGTTGGGGTTTTTCTCATTTTATAAATGAGGACATTGAAGCCTGGGGAAATTAAGCAACTTACCCAAGGTCACGTAGCTTGTAAAGGCTGCAGCCTGGGTTTGAACCGGGCTCCTCCAGGGGCCTCTGCTTCCTGCTACCTCTCCAGAGCAGGCTCCTCATTGAGAATGGACTGTCCTCAGGTTCTCACAGGGGAGGAGGGCCCGTCCCTGTCTCCTGCACTTGCCCGGGGACAGACACGTGTCCCTAACCCCTGCACCGACCTCTAGCTGCGTGTTCAGTGACCAGAGGCTTTGGCTTTTCTGAAGGGCCACAGATCTCCAGCTGCAACATCTGGGAACAAAACAGCCATTCTAACAAGGCGGCTTTACTGGGCACTGGCTCTGTTTTTGGCCCAGTGGGAGACACAAAGACCGTCCTGATCTGGGAGTTTAGGATTCCGTTCATGTTGTCAGCTCTGATGGACAGAGATGGGTAATCTCAACACAGTAAACAATCACATACGGTCTTGGTTTGCTTTGGAATGCAGATTCAACGTATTAATTGCATTTTGCTCAGGCTGATACTGAGACGACCTCAGATCCCATATGTCTACACCAACTCGGACGGGGGATGGCACAGACAAGAACGAGATGGGTGGTGCCTGGAAACCAGTTTGGTTGCATCTAGGCCACAAACGGATGGAGTCACAGACTGTCAGAGTTGGAAGGGCCCTGGAGGTCCTGGGGCCCAGCCTCCACACTTACTGATAAACCCAGGTCCATACCGATGTGCTCTCAGGTCCCCCTTTCACCCCTTCTCTCCTGACATTCTCAGGACGCATTATTTTTTTTTTTTTTTTTTACTATCAGACTTCTTTCTTTGTCTATCTAAAACCTACCCATCTTTCAAAGTCTGGTTCAAATACCACTTTTTCCATGATGTCTTTCCCGATTTCTGCTCTGAATGGATTTAAAAATCACCCTGATTAACCTTCTTCAAGGGGATCCTTTTGTGAACTCCCTCTGGACTTTCTCGGTTCCTTGCTCAAGGCACTAACCGTGTTTTGTCCTGTAGTATTTGAAATCTGTGTTATCCCCATTACAAGAATATATAACCAGCAAGGGCAGGCACTGTATTTAATTCAGTTTAATTCAGGCCCCTCTCCCCTCCAGTCTCATTGAAGATGATTAACGAAGATGACACAGCGCCAGTCTCTGCCCCCACTGAATGGTCATGTGGCAGGGAGGAAGGAGGAGGCCTCTGTAAGGTCACAGAGAAACTCCGTGGCATTAAAGGGTTTAAGTTGGGCGGTCCTTGGTCTTTATTTCACTGAACTGCTCCAGAGTGACCCAGAGAGAGATGGCTTCTGTGGGTTCCCCCCTGTGATGCTCTGCTGTTTAGACGCAAAATTGGGAGTCTCTGTGGGACGCCTGGGTGGCTCAGTTAAGCGTCTGCCTTCGGCTCAGGTCATGATCCCAGGGTCCTGGGATGGAGCTTCTCCCTCTGCCCCTCCCCCTGCTCATGCTCTCTCTCGTTCTCTCTCTCTCTCTCTCCCCCAAATAAATTGAATCTTAAAATTTTTTTTTTTTTTTTAAATTGGGGCTCTCTGCTCTTGACTATTTAGGGCCATAGAGAAAAGGGGTTGGGATTGTCAGCTTGGGCTAAAGTAAAGTAAATGGTGCCCTCAAGGCAATTTAACACATGGGGTTTGGGCCCCTGCTGGGTGATGGGCACGGGGTCAGGCCTTGCAGAGGAGTAGCACTTGCCCGTGACCTGCTTCTTCCCTTCAGCAGCTTCCCTTCAGAAGCCATGATGCTTCCTGATGGCGGCCCAGTGAGGCATCATGAGGGGGAGGGAGGCCTGCCGTCGAGTTTTGGAATCTGTTCCACCCGGGGTAGAAAGAGGGCTTCCAGTGGAGGTGGCTACAGGGACAAAGGCAGGCAAGGCGGCAGAGGATGGGGTGATCCGGAGGGTAAGTGAAGTGGTGAGAGCAGTCTGAAAAGGATGCCAAGCCAAGAAGGTCCTGGCAGTTCTAGAAAAAAGAAAAAAAAAAAAAGTATGTATGGACAAAGCAACAGGATAATAGTGACTCGTACTTACTAAACCCTTCCTCGGGTGCCAGGCTCTGTTCTAAGCATTTTGTGTGTGTAGCTCATTTGGTCTTCACAACAATCTGATGAGGGGACTATTACTCCCCCATTTTAGAGATGAACAAACTGAAGCACGGTGAAGCGAAGTGAATTGCCTGAAGTTAGTAAGTGGTGGAGCCACAGCTTATCCTTATGTGTTGTTTGTGCTCCTAGCACTACACACAATTGCCTCGCAAAAACGTGACACGCAAAAATGTATTTTAAAAACTCTGCAAACCCACAAGGAGAAGACAACCCGATAGAAAACTGGGTAACAGATGGGAGCAGACAGTTTACGGAAGAGGTGGGATGCAGCGGAAAGAAGGCAGGCTGTGGTCTGCCAGTCCGAATTGGTGCTCTTGAGCGAGTTACTCAGTTTATTCATCTGTGAAATGGGGATAATGAAACCTGCGCATGGAATACTTTCAGTGGAAATCAGGCCTCTGCAGAGACTTGAATTCTCAGGTGGAGAAGGAGTGGTCTAAACACAGCAGGGAGATGACCCCCCAGGTTCATGATGTTGCCCAGCCTTGGCCCATGTTGGGTGTCGGGCTGAGATCCTGAGAAGGCCGTATGGGCCCAGGGCTAGATAGAGGGTCACTGTGGCATTTTTAACTCCAATAGTCCGTGTTGGTATCTGGGCAGAATGGAGAAACAAATGGCCGAGACGTTGTGGTATTCATCTCTGTATTCATTTGTGCCTTGCACCGTATCCGATAAAAATTGTGTTGAGGGAAGGAGTGGAGGCCTGTGGTTTGGTACCAACACAGCGCAGATCCCTTCCACCAACGGCCCGGTCTAATCTCGATGCGCTCAAACCCTGGTTCAGTAATAACTAGTATCTCCACGACACCACCCAGCGTAGAAAGTGCGTTTGCATGATCTCATTTGCTCTTCACGGTAACCCCCATTACCTTCCCCACTTTACAGGCGAAGAAGCAGGTGCAGTGAGGCTTGGGGCCCTGCCGGCAGGTACCTGAATGTCCTGTCCTTGAATTCTCCTCTTCACTCTGTGAGGCAGGCCTGCCACCCCCATTCTTAGGTATACAGGAAATGAGATTCAGAGAGGCCGAGCAGTTGGCTCCAGGTCACACAGCCTCTCAGTGCTTGCGCTTGGACCCAGAGCCCAAGCCCTTTTCCTCTAACAGGCTTTCGTGCCTCCAGCCTGAGGGCTGTCTCAGGGACGCTAGGCAATTACCACTTTCCTTATCGAGGTGGTTGTAGAGAGGAAAAGGCAGCCGGCCCTTAAATTTGTTGTTGTTGTTTATTGTCCGCTTTGGTGGGGAAGGGGCCTCAGATTCAGACAGCCTTAATTTATTCCTCAGGGTACAGAGAGAAAATCCTACCTTCTCAAGCCGTAAACCACCCTTTGCAGGCTGGAGATGACAGGGAGGCATCCAGAAGCAGCAGAGGAATTCTCTACCTAGTCGGGGGGCCTGAACTGAGATGATCATGGTTAGTAAGAAGAGAAGTGATCAATTATCGAGCTCTTAGGCGATCCGTGCTTTTCATGAGTCATTTTGTTTAATCCCCCCGAGTGTCTTGTATAGCGGCTGGCATTATGAGCCCCATTTTGCAGATGAGGAGCTTGAGGCACAGCGAGCTCAGTCACCTGCTCAAGGCCACAGAGTGAGGAGCTGTTTGATGTCAGTTCTTAGAGATGACTTGGGCCACCTCTCAAACTGTACCCTGCGGTCTCTCTCACCTTTCCTCTGTGTTATAAAGCCCGCTTACAGGCATCTTTTTATTGAATCTTTCAATTCCATCTGAGGGGGCCAAGTTCTTAACCTCACCTCACAGACAGGGAAACCAAGGCTTGGGGGGATTGAGAAGCCTGCCCAAGGTCACCCAGCCAGGAAGGGGGGTACAGGAACTCCGGTTGGATATCTGCCCCTCAGGAGCCCGTGAGGCCCCCCCGGACCGCCTGCCTGCAGCTCCCCGGTCCCCCTTCCAATCTGCTGGCAGGCAGGCTGCTCTGAAGTTGCACGCCAGTTGGTTGGTTCCAGAACCATCAGCCACGGCTCCACAGTCAAGCAAAATAGTCTGTGTTCACAGGTGCCTCTGGTGGTGTATGCATGTGTCGTGTTTTGCTTTTCCATTTAGTTCATGGCAGGTGCCACATTTCCAGAGTGCCCACTGGGTGAGTTTCTGCAGATTTAAGACAATTGCAAGCAAACGCTTTGCCCCGAGATCACGCCGTGGCTGTGGACACAGAGCAAGAGGTATTGTTTGGTTAAGTTGGCACCTCTGTAAGTTACCCTGAAATCAGAGCGGGATTCTTTATAGAAGGTTATCCTACACATAAATCATCATTAGACTACCTCATTTTTGTTTAATGCCTACCTAACTGTGCTGTAGTCTAAAAATGTGTGTTTAGTGAAGTCAAGGGTTGCACGGAAATTATAGGGTTTTCAAAAACCCATTTGCTTTGCTGGTGTTCACATCAGAATCAATCTTGCCTTTAGTTCTCAATCTCATTGCAAACATGCAGCATTGCTCGCCGAATTCTGGCATTTAATGTAGGGTAGCATTTATGCAGAAGAAGCCAACGGTGCTTACAGAATGGGAGAGCTATGTATAGATGGCACTTCCTGCCAAGCCTGTGATTTTGAACTCTGTTGTGTATCAATGAGACCTCACGGCCAGGACCTGAGCCGCGTGGGCATGGGGCTGCGGTAGCGAGCAGGGGCCTGCGCTGGGGAGCTGTGGAAGGAGAGTCTGCATCCGCGACCCCACAGACCTCACTGTGCCCCCAGCACGGAGTAGGTACGCGGTTTGCTGAATGCCTACCAGGGAGGCTTAAGTTGGGGGGGGCGTGGGGAGGCGGTGTGTGTGACTGACCCTTGGATTCAGAAGGCTGTGGCTCCGTGGCTGCTGGTCAAGCCCTCATTTGCTCCTCCTATGCTCAGATCAGCAGCTCTTGCTAGGAGCCTCTTCTTGGGGGAGCAAAGCTGAAAGGGTGTAGGCTCTGGCCTGGTGAGACCTGCTTCACTTACTCGCCGTGGGACCCTAGGGTCCTTTTATCTCTCCAAGCCTTCCTGTCAGTGGCTGTGCAGATGAGAAGTTAGGTACTTTTTCTAGATGGAGAAAATAGATTTTCTGTGGATAGTTAACGTGTTTCTAGATAGATCTGGTTTTGGGGTGCTTTTTGTTTGTTTTTACATAAATCCTTTG